GAATTTTATTTTAAAAATAAAAATGGAGCTACCATATGGTCTGACAATAAAAAATTAAAAATACCAGCTTTTTTGATACCAGCTTAAAATTACCCAACATTTAAACAATAGCTTTCCCAGTCTTTGCAGTAAAAATAATTATTGAACTTAGAATACCTGTGAATTTTTTAACTTCATTTATTAAAGTAGAGGGAAAACATGTGCTTTAAAATAACGACATGTAAAGTATTTACTTGTTCGTAGTACGTCATCAGTCATTTAATCAAGCTCTTTAACACGGAATTCACACCCTGCCTATTTATGAAAGTCCTCCTGAGAGAATACTGACATACTTTATTTTCCTTTAGGGTGGTAAAATCTGAAGTTTACATTAGACACTTAGTTTACACAAAGCCTCAGTGTAAAGACTCCTTTAGTTTTGTAGAGATCCATTTTTTGTGGCCAGCTCAGCATGCCCTCGGGGTGGGACTGGTGTGGCATGTGGTGACAGGGATCTAACCGAGGTCCCTGCACACTTGCCTAAGCCTACCTAAGAGGCACTTTAGACTGTTGCACTATCTCGCCGGCCCTACAGACCCATTCTTTTTTCTTCTGTTTCCTTTTGGCCTCAGCAAAGAGCTTACTTGTACGGCTTACTTTCTCTCATCAGCTTAATTTTTAAAAATGAGGGTGAAATTGTCAGATCACCTGTGTGCGAGACTTAGAAGAGAGTTTGAGTCCAGCAAACCCACAGCTCTGTGATCTCAGACCAGGCTGTAGAATTCAAAGCTTTTGGAGAGAGCTGGGAGTGCAGATCACTTGATCTACCTCTAGCATGTGGGAAAGTGAAGCTCACAGAAAGGCAGTCGTCCTGGAAAGCGACACATGTGGGTCTGGGCAGAACTCGGGCTGCGACAGAGTGCATCTGTGTTTCCTGTTCTGCCCCAGCACTCCCCTCCCTGCTTTACCTGTCTAGGTCATGAAACACAGGTGGTCATAGATGCAATCTAAAGACCAGGGATACTTTGAAGCAGAAGCTTCAAAAAGAAGTAAGTTGTCTTAGAGAAAATGAGACAAGAATGTCACACTCTCTCAGTGAAGAACACTTACATGGGGCAGCTGCAAAGCATTATACTGTACTTTCTAGCAGAGATTTTAGTTGCTAAAAGGGGAAAGGAAAATGGCCTCCTCATGAGCCAGGCAAAACTCTCAAGACAGTTAATGAGTAGCTACTTAATAACTGGCTCCTGTTTGCAACTGAAAAATAACGCTTCAACTGAAGGACTTCGCCTGTAGCTGAAGGAAGCCATCTTGTCCAGTCAGCATCCTCTCAAGGACAGCTTTAGCCAGAGACTGGCAGAGGTAGGGCGTAGACCGAGGTCTGTCCCCACTTCAGGACAACACTCAAGGACCCCGAGTTCACCCGGGACCCACCCAGGTCTCTGCTGTGCCTAGACCACGAATCATCTTGTCCCTTCACCTTGACCTGGTTCTGCTCTCTGCCTCAGGTGTTTTTCCTTATAATATTTCCCAATCAACTTTCCATGTGCAGATCAGCCCAGGGAAGTATATGTGTAACAAATAACTTAATCCAAATATTTCCACTTAACCTGTGTCATCTACCAAAAACAGCTCTTCAGCTGATTAAGCAGGCCGTGAAGCCAGCACCCCTCCTGAGCCATTTCTGTGGAAGTGCATCAGAAAGAGGATGGTCATGCACGGCTCTCCACAGTCAGGATGTTTCTGAGCTTAGCGGCTGCTGACATCACCGCGGAGGGTGTCTCGGCCCCTTCGCTGCCCATAACTTTCACACAGGCCATAGAATCAGCCAGAAGATGCAGTTCTCAAAGGAAAACAATGCAAAGTGAGAGACGGAAACAGCTACAACGTGTGCCACAGTCAGCACTAGGCAGAGATTTTGAGAGAAGCAAAAGTTTTCCTTAGCAATTAACGCAAAGACTCAGTTGTTACTTCAGTAGTTAATTATTATTGCAGTGACTTAATTGGTGTTTATCATGCACTATACTAACTTTCACCTATTTGATCTAATGTAACCTTCAAAATAGCCTATGTGGTAGACTATTATTAACTCAATTTGGCAAATTAAGATATAGACACTTCCACAAATTGCTCCTGGCACACAGCTAGCAAGTGATGGAGCCAAAAATCCAAACCCGGCAGTCTGACTTCAGATGCTGAAGAACTGTACTCTGTCTTCAAACCATTCATTCATGCTGCTCTGTGAGAATGGTCCTCTTGGGCATTTATGGAGAAAACAACATCAACCATCTTTGTGAAAGAGATGTTGAGCACATGTTCTTTTTGTTTAAGAGCATCTTTTAACTGTGTTATAAAATTTGTCAGTGTGTCAGTGAAGGAAATTAAGAATTGATCTAAGAATATGAGTGGTGGTGATGTTGTCGGCTTAATTGCAGCCCTCATTTCACAATATTTCAAAATGTGAAATGTACACCCTAAGTATGTTAAAGTATGTTATGTTTTTCAGTTGTACTCAATTAAAATGGAAAAAAATAAGTAGATAAAATGCTATTGGAGGAAGATTTAAGAAAAGGAAGAGGATGAAGAGAAGGAAGAACAAACTCAGAAGATGCTCATTGGCTCATCATGAACTCGAAGGAGGACCCTGCAGGATCAGGTGAGTTTGCCACACCAGCCCTGAAAGCCAAGTATGAATCCAAGCAGCCATCAGGGACAGCACATGCACAATCTTCCAGGAAATTGAATGCAATGGAAAAGTTTCAATTTCTGCTCTATTTTTGTAGTCTCATGTATGAAATGATCAGAAAATGACAAAAGGATCTGTACTTCATTGCATCGATAGAAGGAAAAGTAAAAATATTGCCCAAGTGTGCATAGGGGTGATTTTTAAGTAAATCTATGTTGAAATTAACCTAAGAAAGATGGCTTTGCTTTATGGTGTTGAAGGAAGTCACGAAGTTCCTTTGAGAAGAGCTGTTCTCTGCAGCCCAGGTCCTCTTGTTCCTCCTGTGCTGCACCTAGAGGCCCTGCACTGAGCCCAACCTGGCTGCATTGTGCTCCACATGCCCCCCTCCACCTCAGCCTCCCACCACTCCAGAGCTGCACAGGAGGAAGATTAGATAGCAAGTTTCCTTGTGATTGAAAGAAAGACTTTGATCTCAGGAATTGTGTTATCTGGTACTTTTTTTAGGATCCCTAATCTTAAAGAAAAAAAAAAAAACAGTTGCCAATGAATTAATAATGGCTTGAGACCCAACACACCACAGCAATTTTCACTGCAGTGGTTCTTTCTTTTATAGTCACACTTGATTAGTATTTGAAATGTGGAGGAATTGCTATATGCATGGTTTTCAAAGACCTTTACGGAATTTCATTTTTATCACTCAGAGAGAGTCAATGAAAAGGTAATAAGAAAAGCTCTATGGGATATTTTTATAGGAGTATCAGAAGCCAGTAAGCTAACTACATGAAAGAACTGAGATTGCACAGACAGGGTTTGGAGCAGAAACACTTCAGAGACTCTATATCTAGTATTTTGACTTTTACATGTCCTTGGAGAAAGAGTGTGTTAGCCAGAAAACCAAGTGAGGCGGGGAAAGGAACAAACCCTGTGCTTAAGAATAATTACGATTTTCCTGCAGACTAAATGTGAAGTTTCAATGATAAAGTTTCATAGAAACGGAGCTGGTTCACTGTGTCTAAAATATTGTTTAAAAAGAAAGCGCTCATATCCTTTGGTAACTTGTCCCAGATTTCTACCAGGTGGAAGTCAGTCCAGGTACCACAGGTGAATGCCATGAAGGCTTTCACAAGCGTTTTCTGTCCTGTTTTGTCTTCATAGTAACAAAAAGATCATCCTCATTATAAACTATCATAATTCAAGTCTGTATTGGATTGCTTATCTGATGCTTTTTAAAATTAGAAAATCTAACATTTAAACCATTTATTTAGTTATTTATTTTAGTTTATTTATTTATTTTAAAAACATTTTTATTGAGAAACAAATAGCAATGAGACAGTTTCACAACCGATTACTAGCACATTTTCAGTAATTAATACATTGCATATTGTTGTCGTAGTGGTTATTCATTGTATAAGATGCAGACCTGATATCCGGTCTCAAACATGATTAGAACAAACCTCTCTATTTATTGAATTAAGAGAATGGAGCTGTATATCTATCCTAACTATTTTGAGTATGCAGATACAAAATGAATGTTTATTTGTATCCCCTTTTTTGGTTAGTTTTGTCAGAGAAGGGCATTTCATTGTCATTTAAATACTGTAGGTACATGAATTCAGCACAATATCCCAATATAGTCCAATAGTCCATAACAGTAGTGGGTTTTCCATAAGACTGTCAATGTCCAAAGTTGTTGACTTGAGCCTTTTACAGCTCAGCATATTAATATGGCTTTACTTTTTATACTTCATTTTCATACTTTTCTGCTGGATGGTTAAGACCAAGAAAAAGCAAGGCCTATATAACAAGAAACGTAACTTTTGTATCAGATGCTTTTTAAAATTAGAAAACCTAACATTTAAACCATTTATTTAGTTATTTATTTTTACTTTTTTTTTGACACTGAGTCTCACTCTGTAGTCCAGGCTGGCCATGAACTATAGCAATCCTCTTGCCGCAGCCTCCCAAGCACTGGAATTATAAGCATGTACCACCACCACCACCCAGCTAAACCTGTTTTCAAACAGTAAATTTTTTTAGAGGAACTATCAGAATATTATTGTAATAGCTGTACAATTGATCTTGACAGAAATCAGTAATGTGGCCATAAAAATCACAAAGGAGGGGGAAAATTTTAGCAGTGCAAAACACCCTTATCACTATTGTAAGTGTGAGTATCATGCTGTGTTTAAAAAAATTTCAGTGGGATGTGCAGGACCGGTAGTCACTTTGCCTGGGCCAGATATTCCAACAAAATGTTAGTAGAATTGTGCATGCTATGCTCCTGTGGAGCAGGCAGCTGAAACCAGTTCTCCGAGGCTAAAGGACCCATACTCACATGGGTGCCCGCAACGGCAGGGCTCCACACTTGCTCTTGTCTTTCACCAAATCGTTCTGACAGCCAACTGGGGCTCTTGAACCTGGGCCAGCTGGCTGGGAGGCAGGGTTCTTGGCTGTGTCTACGGGATGACTCTGAAATGACACAGGCCAGAGTGATGGATTTCACAGGTAAGTTACCAGTCCAAAATAAACACCACTTCCCAGACATCTGCCAAGGACAAGCAGTCAGCAGACAGCAAGGCATTTCTGTATGTCTGAAACAGAACACTCTACATGCCCAAAAAAGTTATAAACTACATCTTCTCAGTGGATTGTGGTAACCTACATGTGGAATTTTTTAGGTGATACAAGTCATTAGAATAAGAAGTTGGTTTAGGTCCAAAGTCATCTTTAAAATTCATCCCCAGAAGTAGCGTATAGGAAATAGCAAAGAGCATAATTCAAAAGGCAAGAGAAGTTGCAGTATGCTCCTGGATGAACAATAAAGAGCTCTTAATATGATAGTTATGCAGGACTATATAAAAACATATTAGATGAACCCTTATTTAAAGGTCATTCCAGATTTCTATGAAACAGTACCAATCTTATGTTGGGTTATACACGTATTTTCCCCCCATATATGTGTGTGTATGTGTG